TAAAGATTCGACTGCCATCCCCTCTCCTCCCCCCCAGTCCCCCCCTCGCCACCGATTCTCCGCCACCCTCCACGACATAAAGCATGTGCCAGCGAGAGGTGTCTATGAGACAATCCCCCGGGATGACAATGCTTATCCCACGTATGAATGCCACCGATGCTTCCTAGGTAATTTAAGTATTGCCAACCCTCTTCCCTCCGCCCCGACCGCGTCATCCTCTCTTTTCATCCGCTTTGCGTCATCTCCACCTTCGACCCATTCGCCGGGTATATCTTCGGGTGTGCACCTCGTGAAAACCTCGTTGTCCTCGTTTAACGATTGCCATTAGCGACTGAATCGTTTCGTAAGCAACCCCTTTTCTCTCCCTCCTCCCTCTCTTATCCTTCTTTCAACTACGGTCCTCGGTTGGAAAAAGCGATTGCTTTTTTTTTTTTTTTTTCTCATAAATTCCTTCCCCGATCTTTTTGAATGGAGATCGAATGGAGATCCAGTTTTTTCGGTACTCTGCAAAACGTTTCTGTGCACGAGAGTTATTTATTTCCAAGGTCGATCCGAATTGAAGTGCCGTGAGAATTGCGCGAGGGTAGGAACAATGGCAGGCTTTGTTTTAATAGAGATTACGATTTCAAGAGTGCATAGCATGGCGAACGATATATTTATCCCGTGCTTTTCCCTTCCCTTCCCGCTTTCAGCTTCGAAAAAATTCTTCGCCCCTCCCCGACAATTTGTAATTTCTTACATTCTCGCCGATATTCGACCTCGATCGATCAAATTTCGAATCGCAATCAGTCGAACGAGTGAAATTAATCAACGAAACGAGTCCATGTTATACGTACGAGGGAAGCGAAATTAGTCCATCAGCGCCAACAACTATCGAGCAAACAAACTATCCACCAACGAACTTCCTCCAAGTCAAAGTCGCAACCCATCTTTCGCCCTTTCCGATCCACACAAAAGAATCATTAAATTCGATGAAAGCAGTTTCAAGAATCAACACCCACCCGTTTGAATCGAATCCAAACTCTCCTCTCCGTGGAGATACTCCGTATCTCTGACCCGGGTGGCAAAATCCGACGTCTAATTAGTAATCGTCCTCCGGTTAAATCCGCAGGTGTTCAGGCAGACGGGACGCCGAGCGTGTAATTCGGATGCGCCGGATTATCCGCGCGACGTTTCAACGTTGATCCTCGCAAATTAAGTCGACACGGCCCACAACCTCGCGTTGGATCCAACAGCTCTCGTCACGGTTGAAAGGTGGCGCTGATAAGGGGAGGAAGAGAGAGAGAGAGGAGGGGGAAGGGGGGAAGGGTGGCCCCGGAATCAGGTGGGGCAGAACGTAATCGCAGCGCACTTTGGGCGATTATAGGCAATCGCGAAAGTACCAGAAAGGCGGCTGTTAATAAGAGGGAACAAGACGGGTGGCGCACGAGGGGAGGGAAGGAAGGAAGGTTGAGACGAGGGAGGGATACACACACACACACACACACGCGAGGGCCCACGGTGACGGTGGCACGTCGCCCACCCCCTCGACGTACACGCTCGAACGCGTTGCGTAATTAGCGACTGCCTCTCCGGTTTTGTGGGCGGGCGGGGGGGTTGTTGGGCGGCTTGGATGCCGAGGGTGAAGTGGGCGCACCGTGCATCGGGATTGGGGCACCCACCCGAGAACGCGTTCGAGTAACTGAAACCCATCGCGTGCGTGTGCACACGTGCGATTCTACGGGGTGGTTCTTGATGTAAGACGACGATAGAGGGTTCTCTCTCTCTCACTCTCACTCTCTCTCTCTTTCTCTCTCTCTTCTCGTGGAGAGAGCCTGGTAGGCTCTGGCAACGAGGTTTTGCGAAGCGATTGAATTAAAATGGTTATAATTGGTTATAATTTAAAGAAGAAACGGAATTGTATAACGATATTGTAGTTTCTTGAAATTCGTTTACGAGTAAATTTACGTATACGGTTATCGTCTAACAGTTCTGGAATATGATTCTGTACGGCTCGTCACGGAACGCGGTTATCGTTACTTCGGAAGTAAGAATCGGTGTTGCAATTGTTTCGATCGCCATTTTAACAATGTTTAACGCGTTTTAAATTATATATGTATAATTAAATTAATAAAATGTTTGTCCTGTAAACATTCATTTCAAACTTAAGCGACGTTAAGCGGAATAGCTGTTAACAATGAAAATAGCCTTCAATTATCCTAATTTACATATACACGTATACAAAAGGATATATAAAAATATATCCTCCGTGTAATTAATTTTCGATGAACAAATCAAACGAATCAAAGCGAATACGCGGCACAAACGTAACGATGTTATCAAGGATTATTAAGGATGATTTTGAACGCGCTAAACGCTTCGGTGAAAATAGCTTTATCGAATATCGGAGATTCGGCAGCCCCTCTCCCCTTCCTCGGTGATCGCAGCAGCTACTTCGGCAAAGCTTGGCGCGCAAACGGGCTCGTAACGATCAATTATCGCGCATAACGCTAGACTGGGAATCATTACAAAGCGACACCAGATTTTACTACGTAAACAACGTCTTGGGAGGGATAGTCTCGCGTTAGTCGGCCGCAGATCTGATTTTCCACACGTTGGAGTGGGGCGAATTATGCGGTTCGTGGCGTCGACACTAATCCTCGTCGAAGCAGCAGCCCCCCCTTCGTCACCAGCTCGAGAAGGGGGCCGAGTGGATCGAGGGCGGGGGTGGTACGTAGACGCAATTAATGCGGGGAAACCAGCCGCGGACGGTCGGGGGAGTTTTCGAGGAGGGCATCGAAGCTATGCCAACCCGTAGAGACGTAATGACTAATTGAGATTCGAAGAGAGAAGGGAATAATACGATCGGGCTGGTCACGGTAAAACGCACTTTTCTTCCTTTCCTCTCCCCCTCCCCTTTTCTTTTTATTTCTTCCTCTTCTTTCCTCCTTCCGTTCCCTTTTCTCTAGCCCTCTCACTCCGTGTCGATTACAAAGGATCTCTCGCCTGCAGGCACACCAATGGAATTACGGGATTATACGCTGTCGCGTATACCTTCCCCCGATTTCACCATCGATTTTAATACGATCGATTTATCGACACGTTCTTAAACATCTCGAGTAGATTTATCAATCATTTCCGGCGAATGTTATAGAAATTGGTAAGATTTGATCGATTCTTGATCGAAATTTCTTTCACCATCATCGGTGAAATATTCTTCGATTAATATATAATCGCGATGCAACGAAAATGAAAAAGTTCAAGTGTATTTGACTCGATTCGATTATCGAAAAATCGAATCTTGGCAATTTGCTTCTTGTGATAATTAAAAAAGAAAAACGAAAAAGTGTGCCGCTACAAATTTAGATACAATTTACAATCACAATTAAAATGCTGTCCACGAATTGAGACGCGTATCTCCGTTCAATTCTAAATGACCCGACAGCGACCGACCATTTACCTTTCCCTCTCACGAACGAAACGGAAGTTCGTCTTAACCGGGACCAACGAAGCCAGTCCGAAGCGTTATTCATCAAGGAGTAGACAATCACGCCGCGTGTTGCGACGCGATTTGTCACGATATCGCGGGAACGGCATCGATATTGTGCCGCTCACAATCCGCATCCAAGAGTGAAACAACGAGCCCCTTCCAACCTCGTGAGCAAACCTGGAAAGGAAGGAAGGAAGGAAGGAAGGAAGGAAGGATGGAAGGCAAAAGGAAAAGGGAGCGATACGGTTGTGGGAGGGCAAAAGCGAGCGGAGTAGCAACCAAGCCAAGAGAGATTCCTCGCACAGAAGGCAGCCGTGTTTCACCGCTGCTCGTCGCCGCTGGTCTCGTCGACATTAAGATAATTACTTTCCAGCAGGACGTGCGGGGCCCATTGTCACCGTTACCGCGGCCAGAATGGCATTATGCATTGTCGGTGAAGAAAGTGACGGGGGTGCGTGGATGGATGGATGGGTGTGGAGGAGGAGGAGGGGGTGGCTTGCCAGGGAGGTGGTGCAAGGGTAGGGGGTGGGCTTCGTGTACCTTAGCCCGTGGGTGGAGCATTATTCCACTCGGTTCCGTGTTTCGCTATTGAAACTGGTAAGCGAGGGGGAGGAGGGCAAGCTTCCTCCGAGGAAGAGCCAAACGCCAAGAGGGGTGGGCATCCACCGATGTATCCAACGGCTTTCTCCCGACGCCATTAATGTAATTATTTCCACCGAGTGTTCCACCGCGAAACGTTTCGAGCTCCTCGAAACGTTTCGCGGGAATTGAGACTGATCAGCCGGCTCCCCGAGAAGAAGAAAGCCACCGAAAGAGTGTCCTCCTAGGGGGATAAGGCCTTCCCTCCATTTTTCTTCTTCTCTTCGTCCCTCTCGCGTGCACGAGGGGGATGGATGATGACTCGTCATAACGGTGACGAAGCGTTAAAACGAGAGACGCGGTTTGTTGGATTTGTGTCGCTCGCTTGCAACCGCGATAATACCCTGATTTCGCGTAATGGGTTTTGCTCGCGATTCTCTCTTCTCCTTTCCACGAAATCGTGAATTCTTCTTCTTCTTCTTCTTCTTCTTCTTCTTCTATGGAATTGATGACACTTTCGCGCGCGTTTCTGTTTTTTCTCTTTGTTTTCCTCGCTCGAGAAGACAAGCTTCTTTTTCTCTCTTTCGACGATTTCTCTCGAGAGGGCGAGAAGGATTAAGAATCGCCGAAAAAGAGATTCATTGGTTGTGATGAATTCGCGAATTCTTCCTCGACGCGTATTAATATAATGCGTTTTATTCTTTTTCCACGAGGAGAAAACTTCTTTTTCTTTTTTTTTTTTTCGAAGAAAGGATCGTACTCGCCACTTCCGCTTTCTTCTTTCTCCTCTTCGACGCGAAGTTGCCGCGATTTAGAACAGGTATTTCGGCCTCGTAACCTCGTTGCGCGATCCGTGGTCAAAATTCTTTGTGGAGAAGAGAAAAGTCTGAATGGCTTTTCGTTAATCAATCGGGAAATTGAAAAAGCGTGAGTGCAAATGCGTTAAATTGTTTGGATTAGATTCGTTCGGAAAAAAAGTAAATTCTCTGTGTTACACCATGTCCGTGGCGGAAACGTTTATCGAGGAAGACGGTTTCGGCTTCATTCCTAGGCCTGCTCGCAATAAACACAACCAACCGTTCGAAATCGTTCGAAGGTGAGTTTTTCGATTGGCACGGTGTTGTTACGTCGTGTTTCTTCCATTCTCCCGTATTATTTCACGCAAGGTACACAATGACGAACAAGCACAAAGCGTCGGTGCAATTGATATCTTGGGGGGCTACTATCCAAGCCATCAAGGTACCGAATCAATCGGGCATTTTGGGCGACGTTGTTCTAGGATTCGACGACGTGGAGGGTGAGCAATGACTTTCTCTCCTAAATCTGTCCAAACATGTCCAATAATTCGTTCGTTACTATTCGTGAAAATATAATCAGGATATTTGAAGAACAGGTACATAGGCAGCACGATTGGCCGAGTCGCGCATAAAATTTCTATGGGGAAAATGAAGATCAATAACAAGAATTACTCTTTGACCATCAACGACAAAACTAGCATGAGCCATTACAACGGAGGTTTCTTCGCGTTCGACAACGTTAATTGGAATTCTTACATATTCAAGAAGCACGTGGTAAACATGTATTCTGATGTGATCGGGTGTGTTTTAAATCTTCGATTTATTCGTAGATTTTTTTTTTTTTTACGGTGCAGGTGATGACCCATACGAGTTTAAGGAACAGCGAGGGTTATCCGGGTGATCTTCTTACGCAGATTAAATATTCTTGGACGGATGATAATCAGCTGATCATAAATATCCGTGCTTGCGCTACCGAACCGACACCTGTTAACATTACTAATAATTGTTTGATGAATCTTGCTGGACACGTAAAGTCGTTATCTGTTTAATTTTTCAGACAGTTTTCCCGAATCTATTCGAAAGTCAGATTAACCCCCAATTATTTTTTTTTTATCGATCGATAGAATAGAAAACGAATAGCTTACACTTTTTTTTTAAAAAACGATTCGACAACTTTTTCATCAATTTTCAATCGATATTAAAGTTATTGACGAAATTATGAAATTAAAATTCCAAGTTTATTCCAACTATGTAAAAAGGAATAATTGTCGAGTAAATTTTTTTTATTTTTCGATTTTTCTTTCAGGCTTCCGGCCCGAAGGAATTGAGGAAACACGTAATCTCGTTGAACGCTGCTAGCTGGACCTTCACGGATATTATAAGTGAATTGCCGACAGGTGCTATACTTCCGGTTGATCATACGGTATTCGACCTACGCTTACCGACTCAGTTAACCAAGAGAAAACTTTACATCATACCGGGGGGTGGTTACAACCAGAACCTTTGCATAACCAACTTCAACCGTTGGTTTTATCGTTTCCACGCTAGGTAAGTGCGAAGATAAAGAGAGAAATTTTTAATTTTTTTCTCGCCAATTTTTCTATTATTCGATCTGTCTTGATTATCTACTTTTTGATTATTTGTATTACTTCTTATATATATATCGATGAATAATACGATTGATCATTAATTTCGTAACTGTAGTGGAAGTGAGAAATTAATAGCACAATATTTAATTTTTTTTTCTTATATGTTGCATTTCTTACGCCAAATTAGAATCTTAATAAAATTCTGAGCGTCTTTGATTGTTAAAAATTTAGTAGCAGTGAACAGAACTCTTGAATTTTGAATTATTATAAGATAATTCTCACATTTATTTCTTCCCTTCCCCGTCGAAGAGTTATTCATCCCGGGTCTGGAAGAACTTTAGAGGTATATTCGAATCATCCGGGATTACGATTCTCCACCGGGAACGACTTGCCGGACCTCGATCGCAAATATCCACCCGACTTCGAGGAATATTGCGATTGCATGGATCCAGTTAGGCCATTCTTAAATTCTTTTTTAACCAAAGCTCGATTATCCCACGAATCTTCGAAATTTCGAATAATAACACAATTCCAGGTGAAGAATGTAACTGAAAAGGAAATTTGGGGCAAGGATGGTGTACGGTATCAGAGGCACGGTGGATTCATCTTGTCGCCCCAAAATTATCCCGACTCGATCAATATTAAGAATTTTCCCTCTTGCATAATTAATCCTGGCCAGATTTACGTGCACGACATAACGTACAAATTTGGCCTGTTGACAAAGAATGAACAGTAGTAAATAAACGGTGGAAGAGCGATATTAGGATTGATTTAGTTATTGATTGATAAAGAAGAGTGCAGATTTATAATACATATATTTGTGAACCATTGCGTGTCGGGTGAAGTAGTCTTTTCGTAATCCACACCGATTGTACAAAATTATCCGTCATAGTCTCTATTCACATATGCCACATAAGACGCGATTCATTAATCGCTCAATTAAGGGCTATTAATTAAATTGTACAATGTTTTATCGGATCGATTAACGTTAATTTTCTTATATAATTCTCTTTTCATTATCTTGAAAGGCACTTCGTGGAACGAGGAGGTGGATACGAGGAGAAGATATGGATGTTTATGATTTAGATTTTAAAGAAATATCAAATTTTTATTTGACGATATTAGTCTCGATAAAGATATATATCCATAATATCTCCACGCATTCCTATTCGTACCGATTCGTTTTATCTTCTAGTACATATAAAGCTATGTTTGTATATGTATACATTTCGTTCACTTAGGTTTAAAAAATAGAAAAGTTCGTTTCGTTTTTTTTTTTTTTTTTGTACATCCCTAAAAAGTGTTATTTCTACGTGTGTAATAACATGTTATTGCGGGCAGTTAAAGAAAAATTAAGGCAGTGATTCTAAAGAATAGTTTCGTATTTTCATCTGTCTTGTCTTTTTTTATTTTTTTTTTCCATTTATTTATTTATTTATATATATATATTTTTTTTATTATTTTTTTCGTAAAATATTCTTATGCCGTTACTTCGACCGTTATGTATCGAACTTTTGTAAAAAATATACACATGTATATCTATCATAAAGAGAGAGAGAGAGAGAGAGAGAGAGAGAGAGAGAGAGAGAGAGAGAGAGAGAGAGAGAGAGAGAGAGAGAAGAAGAAGAAG